TATATATATATATATATATATATATGCATACATAAATATATTAAATAAACACATACAAATGCAATTTTAAGGTGGATCTATTTCATTACAATGTTTTAGTTTTCATTTGCACATATTTGTACTATTTAAAGCACAGATGTTTGAAAAAGTTAACCAAAGTTTTTTTACAATGTGTTTGTGTGGGTTTCCTCTGGGTGCTTTAGTTTCCCCCACAGTCCAAAAACATGGGGTAAAGGTGAATTGGGTACACAAAGTTGGTCCTAGTGTGTGAATGTGAGAGTGTAATTGTTTCCTAGAACTGGGTTGTAGTTGGAAGGGCATCCGCTTGTTGGCGGATAGTTTGTGATTCATTCTGTTGTGGTGACCCCTGATAAATAAGGGACTTAGTCAAAGGAAAATGAATGAATGAATGAAAACTTTGATTTATAAGCTTTAAAATAAAAAACACATAAAGAACAGTCAGAATTCAATAGATGAAAATTTTAGTACAGATGCTTCTTTTGATGATTTTTATACTAATGCTTTTTTTCCCCCTAGTTTTGGTAAAAAAAAAAAAAAAAAAAAGAAAGAAATCACCAGAATCTAGCCTTAAAGAAGAGTTAGTAAGAAAAAAATTACAGTCTTAAGAGGGTTCAGCAATTTTTGAATACTACAAAAAGCAAATGGAATGTAATGGTAGATAATATCTTCCTAGATTGTAACCTTTAGATAGTATCATTCATTCATTTTCTTTTTGGCTTAGTCCCTTTATTGATCTGGGGTCGCTACAGCGGAATAAACCACCAACTTATCCAGCACATGTTTTACAAAGCGGATGACCTTCCAGCCGCAACTAAACACTGGCAAACACCCACACACTCTTGCACACACTAACATACACTTCAGCCACTTTAGCTTATTCAATTTCCCTATAGCACATGTTTTTGGACTGGGGGAAACCAATGCACCCGGAGGAAACCCAGGCAAACATGGAAGAACATGCAAACTTCACAAATGTCAACTTACCCAGCTGGGGCTTGAACCAGTAACCTTCTTGCTGTGTGGCAATTGTGCAACCCAATGCACCACAGTTCTGCGAAAGTATTATAGATTGAGAAAACATTAGCAGTGTACAAAATTGGTCATCATCTTCTGGCGGAAGGGAATTTGTATTGTACTGGCAATGATACAGATATGAATCATTTAGAGTCGCATTTAGCTTCATTTATATAGGCTTTGAATAAACTGGCTGAAACCAATGATTTAGTAGATGTGTGGAGAAACTTGAATCATAATTGGACAATATAAAGGTTTCGCTGAATGTTGAAAACAATATATTTGTGACGAGCTTTTAATAATGGATGGTTTATACCCACACAAGAGGACATTTTTCCAAATTTGATTATTTCACCTTTGCTTGCAGAGGGAGAGTACTCTCATCAAGCATTTATTTCAGAATGGCTGGTTTTCTGTTCTGTAAAAGGAAAAGGGGTGTATAAGTTAAATAGAAGTAGCTAAGTAAGGAAGTTGAAACACCATGTGCTGCTCATTTTGAAGCTGGAGATGATTGCAAACCTTTGTGGGAAACCATGTAGAAGCCACTATTGAAGATAAGTAATGGGACTTGGAAAATGGAGGATACTACATGGTATTGTTCCCATTAACGCTTTTTCAGCATTATTAATTCCCTAGTAGACAGTAATTGTCCATTTTGTAATCAAACCATTTTTAATTGTTTTGTACATAGTGAAAGGCTTATTAAGGTTTTTATATAGGTTTATTTCTGATGCTTTATGTTTGCAGATTTTAAGATTACTTTTTTTAAAGATTTTTCAAATAAGATTCCCTCTCACACACACATAAACAGAATTGTGTTGTGGACATTTTTTTATAATTATAATTAAACTCTGATGGAAATAAAAACCCAGTCCAGGAGACTCATTTCGAGCAGAATTCTTTACGTGTTGATTGTTCTGCAATATATATATATATATATTGGAAATTTTGGATCATGCTCCGGAACTTGCTCGTTGCTCAAAAACACATAGTAAACTATCTGCCTCTCCCGTTTTTGAGATAAAAGTCCCAAATACATAGTAAGTTTAATATAAACTTAGATACACTTAAAAATAATTAAGAGAAAAAAAATTATCATTGTTGTCTCACTAGTGACATGTTGTGGCTTTCAAATCAAATGTTAACCAAATGTTTCAAATGTTAACCACAAAGTTAGTTTAACTGTAAGTATTACTTTTATTTTTGTATAGTGTTGTACAATATCAGAGTCTCACAAGGTTTATGAATTGTTTTTGATGGCTTATGAATGTATTTTTCTTTCTGTAGAAAAACTTTATTTCTTTGTATCTGCTTAGATTTAAATAACACATGAATTATGAATTTACTGAGACACATCATTTCCTTTTAAAGGAAGCTGTTTTTTTTTCTTGCAACTGATGACTAATACAACCGTACTTGTTTAATGTTTTGTTATTGCGAAATGTATTATGCATCAGATCAGTAGTACGTAGTAATGACATCATTGTACGTAGTTTGTAATGACATTTCCCCCTTTGTGTATAAGATAACATGTTAAGATGTTCATTCCTTGTTTGAAAGAAGCAGCCATAGAAGCTTGAAGCCAACTCAACTTTGGTGTACAGAGGTAGTTGTGTACTCCTCTTTTTTTCTTTGTTTTTGTTTCATTTGCTCTTGTTGTGTTTTTCAATTATATAAATATTACATGTAGATACAAACTGGTGTATATCTCAAATAAAATGTAAAATTAAAATTTATAATTAAATGTGAAAAAACATAGATAAAGTGAGAATTTTTACTTAATATCTGCCTGAATATGTGTGTGTGTGTGTGTGTATATATATATATATATATGCATTTCTGCCTGAATATATATGAATATATCAGTATACTAAAAGATGTACTAATAAATAAAATGTCTATTAATAACTTTTTTTTTACAGAAGGGAAATTTCTAATAAGTTTCTTCTAACCATGTCACATATCCAAGGACCACATGTGAAGAAATTACTGCCATGTATTTTATTAATGTTGGTGAGTCATAGAAAACTATAACGTGTCATTCTACATTAACACGTTTCACAAATTTCTGTGTATGTTGTGTAATGAGCTATTATAATCACAAAGCAGTATCAGAGATATTTGTCAGATGTTTTAGGGTAAAGTTATTTTGAAGGTCAGCCAGGTGTTGACGTCATTCAGTTAAGCAATACTAAACCAAAAGTTCAGTTTCCTGAATTGTTCAACTGTTTTCATAGACTGTGGGTGTTTCAATGGGGCAGCGGAGAGTGCTCCAAAAAAGTGAGTGTTTAAAAAGTGAATACTGGACTGAGGGGCTTTGTTGTCACAAATGTCCTGAAGGTATGATGTCTAAATTATTCATTTTTTCAGTTTTCAGAGATGTAGACAAATAAAAAATTTCTCTTTATGTCATGTGATTTTTAGGGTATAAGCTAACAAAGAGATGCTATAGCGGAATGTCAACTCAATGTGCAAAATGTTCAGAAGGGACATACCAAGACAAAATGAACTATTTCCCAAACTGCTTCAGATGCCAGGAATGTACTAAGAGAAGTCAGTGTATTTTAGTTTTCTCTCTCTCTCTCTCTCTCTCTTTCAAAACTTTGGTAATTTATTAACTTCTAAATTAAGTAATAAAAGCACATCTATACTTAGATTTTTGTTTCTTCTCCGACAGGTCATGCAGTGATGATTTCGCCGTGTACGTACCAAAGTAACACTGTTTGTGGATGTCAATCAGGATACCGCAAAAAAATGTTTGACAGTATTTCATGGGCTTGTGAGCCCTTTAAAAAGAGTGATTACGTATAACTTAAAACAAGAGGAGAGAAATATCATCCAGGCTTCGTGAGACGGAAGTAAACATGTCTATCTCCATCCATGGTTCGGGCCTTAATAAAAAAAAAGTTTGGGCACCCTCTCTTTTTTGTGGATTTTGAAACCTGTAGTCACTTAACACTAATTGTTTACAACACAAAATTGATTTAAGTGACTCGGTAAACAATAACAATCCTAACACAGGTGCAACAAATCATGAAAAATTATATTTAAAACAGCTGATTGCTAGTTGTTTGAACCAGAATGTAGCAAAATAAGAACCTCAAAAGAACTTCCCAATGACCCAAAACTAGAATAATTCTTCAACATGAATGTTGAACAGAAGGATACAAAAAGGTATATACAAAAGTTTGAAGTCTCTATATCCATAATCGGAAATCTAGCAACAAAATGGAAGGCCACAGGAACAGTTCTTGTAAAGGGAAGATGTGGTAGGCCAAGAAAAATATATAAAAAGGCAAAGGTGAAGAATGGTTAGAATGATCACATACAAACCACAGACCACATTCAAAGTGCTCATCTTGCTGCTGATAATGTCATTGTACATCACTTCAACGTCCAGCACACTCTTCACAAAAAAAACAGTTCAATGGAAGGTGATGCAAAAAAAGCCTTTTCTGCCTTCTACAAACAAGAAGAATCATTTGGGGTGTGCAAAGACTCATCTAGACAAGCCTGAATCATTTTGGAAAAAATATACTGTGGACAGATGCCACTACTATAGAAGCTTTGCATGGCTAAAAAGAACACCGCATTCCAGGGGATGAACATGCTCTACTGTAAAATATGACGGAGGGTCCGTCATGCAGTGGGAATGTGTGGCAAGCACAGTTACAGGAAACCTTGTAAGAGTTTAAAGTCACATGGATTCCACCCTGTATTAGCAGATTCTTAAGAACAATGTTCAAGAGGCTGAAGTTACGCCAGGGTTGGATGTTTCAGCAGGACAATGACCCAAAGCACAGTTCCAGATTTACTGAGGAATTCATGCTCAGACACGACACAATAAATGACCATCCCAGTCCTTAGAATTGAACATCATCAAAAATAGATTGATTTGAAAAGGGCTGTTCATGCTCAGCACACACCAAACCTCAATGAACTGGAGAATTTTCAGCAAACAATCAGGGACTTATCCTTGGCTATAATAAGTGCCTACAGCTTTTTATTATTATTACAGCTTAGGCAGTTATTACAGCAAAAGATGGCTGTACAAAAGGTTGATGTCATTATTATGTTGAGGTGCCCAAATTTTTGCACCTGTCTGTCTTTGTTAAATGTAAAATGTTGCTTTCTTTCTGGGGTATGAAATATATCCAAATGAAATTGCTGATTTGAAAGGCTAGCAGGCTATGGCTTGCAATTATGAAAATGATCATGGGTAATCAACTTTTGCATAAAACTGTACTTCTGTATAGTTTATGGCAGCTACTGTTTGTCAACTGCATGAACTTGGACTTTCTTCATGCTGTAATCATGTTTTGTTGTCTGGTTGATAATTTATACTTTTTATTAAATGTGGAATAGTAAATATAATTTTCTGTATAACTCTAAAAATGTCCATGTAAAGTTAAGTATACATTTGCTGTGAAAAAAAGATGTTTTATAAAGAACACATAAGAATAACTTTTGTATTGTTATTAATATTTCATATTTAAAATGTACTAGCCTAAAGCAATTTTAAGTTAACATTACTTTGTGAAAAAGAACATTTTATTATAATAATGTATTATTTAACTATTTCAAAAGTAATTTTGAGAAGAAAAAAAGACATTTTTATCTCATTTAATTAGAACACAAGGACATCTTTATAAAAAATTAACATTGTATAACATTTGAACAAAAATGTGCTATAAACAGTACTAAAGAACTGTCAGAAGTCATCTGTCTAGTTTTGGTTCACCTGTGTTTGATCCCAGTTTCTTAGGTTGCCTTAAAGTATTTCTTTCTAAATTAATACAAAATAATTTTAAAGAATGTTGGAAACCATTAGTCATTGACTTCCACAGTATTTTTGTCTTTTAGTGTCTTTTTGCAGTGAAAATTGTTGTGATTTTTATTTAGAGCATAAGAATCCATATGTGTAAAAACAGAAACTACAACCTAAATTTTAGCTACACGAAACTGTATATTTTTATATTTTAATTACATGAAAACATCTGCACCAGTCACTTTATGTAACATTGGACTGCTAGTAAGTTACATCATACTACCGCCTTATATATTATGACACTGTCACTTTATCATAATTATCATGTTTACATGAATTTTTTAATATAATAAGATTAAATAAATAAATAGCATCTGGATGTTCATTCTGATGGTTTTATCCTAAAATAACATTTTTCATATTTTAACATAACATCATGAATTATACCACTAAATATACCTAATACATTTTTCCAAAACTTTTTGATATACTCACAATTCTAAAAAAGTGAGAGAGATTCAGTTTGGTAATCACAGAAGGAACAATTTACATCCAAATCTTCAGAAATAAGCCTTTGTTAAAAAAAAAAAAAAAAAAAAACTTTGTAGGATATCAGTTATGAATTATTTTATAAGACACTTTACAAACTTTATTGTATATTAGGAATTTTTAGAGTAAAGTCTCTTTGCAAATTAATATTAACTATAAGTCTGTTCCAATAATAGACAGCATTAGGACAAAAGATTATCTCACACTAAAATAGAGAGCGAATATTTTTGTTATTTGGCTTTGTGGTAAATAGTATTTTACCAAGAGCTGTTTTTAGCACGTTTAGATGTGGCACAACCTGGGGAGACTGATTGATTGTACAATACAATTTTGTTGTGCCAAATTATATAATTATGTGGGGAAAAGTTGTAGCCTACTTGTAGACTATAACAGACATTGTTTATGAAACGAAGACAATTTGGAATGAATTTTCTCAGGATTTATGCAAGAGTAAAACATTTAAAAGAAAAAAATCCACGAAAAGGCAGGGTTTCTAAGGTGCTGATTAATCCTATTTAAATTGAATGTATAATTAAAATTAGCAAAACTGATGAAACTAAGACCGCAATTTTTATAATTATTCAAAACTAGATTTTCTTATAGTATCATGAGTAAATAGATTGTGTCATGTGACATTACCTGCGTGACGTAGAGTCCAGTTTAAAGCGCAGGTAGAAGAACCCGGAAAAAAACACAAACGACTAAATCATATTTACAGCCTGCTAAAAGTCTTTCTCGACAGTTTTGCGTCTAATATAATTCTCTGATTAAAGGTAAGTAAAATTATCTTATAGCCAACCTCGGTTTCTGTATGAATATGCATAATGACATTAATATGCATAACAGGCACAGACGTTTAACCCTTCAGAGGGTGAAAATTTCTAGAAGTCAAAGTGTTGTTAAAGGCATATTGATCATTCTAAAAATTAGAAGAAAGAAAACTAAAAATCGTTTAATAAATCATGCAGTTATTAGTTTGCGCCATTAAATAGGCTGCTTTCACTTTTCTTTTTCCTCCTTCACATGTCCGAAGGACAGTCACCATGCCCAGTACTGACCGCGCTGGATTGACCCACTGCAAGTTTGTTCTCATATTTGCCGTCGTTACGGATCTTTTCGGAGTCTCTACCCTCCTCATCGGCATCTTCGTCCCACTTGAAATCGCGGGTCGTGACTTCGGTGATCTATTGGTGTACTCTGGAGCTGTGCTAGTGTTGATGTCTATGGGGGCTTGGATCATGTGGTACAGTGGGAATATTGATGGTTTGTTATCAGGAAAGGAATTAAGACATAAACACGACGCCGTGGACCTGCTCGCTCGCACGCTCAGCCGCCGCATACGGAAACCCCACCGAGGCCACAGCACGTCTTGACCTTCGACCTAAGCACTTCGGCCATATACATATCAGATATATATTTGAACTCTGATAATTGACAATGTGGTTTGTGCAAACAAAACACGTTGCAGCCTACCTGTACTGTGAAATAAGCTAGGCTATAACTGAGAGTTGCACATGTGTTATGAGCAATTTTTACTTTATTTCTTTTTGTAGTAATCATGTTTGTTGACAAATAAAATTCAAGCACTGTCAATGTTTTTGGTCTTTAAATTTGCACATGCTACTTCAGTGCTTTATTTTAACAACACTGAAACATTTTACAATACCAATTGAACAGTTTCTGATTATATTGAAGGTGTATCAACAAAGTGAAACACATTTTCCAGGTAATAAAGCTGACTGTCTCTCACTTAAATAGATTGAGACTTGTGTTCATGGCTCATTCAAAAAATATTTCAAAAGATGTCCATACAGAATTCTTAATAAATTTCACAAACAAGACACCACCAACCAATAATGATTAAATAAATAAAAAGTTCACTATAACACCAAGCACTTAAAAATTATACACAACAGAAATCAAGTACAGTTATTACTTGCAGGTAGGCTGTAAAACAAGCAAACAAGTATCTCTGAAAATACTGCATGTCATGACATGCCGTGCATCAATTCAAATTCAACATTATTGAAACACAATAAAAAGTATCATTTGTTGATGGGCATTACAGTAACAACCTCACTTTGTTTCAACTTAAAGATTGTGTATTGAAAAACACTGGCCAGATATAGGAAAAAGAAATTGTACAAGGCACATTTAGAGAATATCTGGGCATTATGGGACTACAAAAAAAAGAAAAGTCAATTTCATATAAAGTCAGTTTACCACAAACAATTTACCAAAGGTATACAATCAATGTTGTGGATAAAAAAATCCTAAAAACATCTGCGCCTTAATGCCTTAAATTATCTGTAGTATTTCTCCCCTTTGGGCGTATTGATACATGGCGCTTATTAGACAAGTGATAAACTGTAATACACTGTAATATATATAGCATGCTTGACTGTATTTCAAAAGAACTCCAAAAGCTGAAGCACTTTAAAGGGCAGGGCTTGGAACGCAAAGGATGGGGCTCTGCCAAATAATCATGTGACTTCTTTCTGATCTCTGTAGGACATACTCACTGGCCCCATCACTTCCATCATCTCCTAAAAAAGGACACAAATATGTAAGTCGAATATAATTTTCAAAAATATTCAAAATTAAATACATATATATAGCTTCTCGACATTATTGTGTCAAGAAAAAATTCTAACCAATTCGGAAGTTGATATATCCTTCCCCTCCACTGAGAATAAGCTGAGAGGAAGTGGCAGCACCATCTGCTGAATTGGAAGCACTATAGCAGCCTACAGTGATTGCAAAATGTGAGAAATAAAATAAATAAAAGATTCCAGATTCTTTCCAATACTGTAAAGAATATGTATTTCAAACCTGGAGCAGAAATAATGAATTTGACAGCTTGTCGATGGCCATGGTAACAGAGCTGTGCAGAAGCAAGAGAGCAGTATGGTATAGAACAGGACTCTGAAGCTGGAAAAACAACAACAGTATACATTTTACAAATATAAAACCACTCAATAAAAGTTTGTTTCAGTGAGAACAAAACACTTACTAAGGGACAGGGGAATTGAGAAAACTGCACCACTTCCTGTGCCCACCCACAGCCTGCCACTGACCACAGACATGGCTGTGATCTGAAGCGGGGAGAGAGACAGGAATGCAGATCCTATGAAATGGAAAAAGCCGGGCAGTAAAAAGAAATGAATTAAATTTTTATATATATATATATATATATATATATATAAAATAAAGCATCACTAAAATCTGAGACCACTTGAAAATATTGTTTCACTAGATTTAAGGTGAATAGATTTGCTTTTTTTAGACATGTTTATAAATTTTAGATAACACACAAGATAATATTATAATATTTCAGCAGAGAACGTTTTAACAGTTTAGTACACCTAAAACTGAAACTCCTTTCAAAATTTATTCACCCTTAACCTTTCACTTGTTCCAAACCAGGGGCGCGTTTCAGAAAACCATCGTTAGCCAACTATGCTTGCAAGTTCCATCTTTACAAACATAGTTTGTTGATTTGGTGTTTCCCTAATCCATCATTCCAAGGAACATTTGAAACTGCATCACAAACTTGCATGCTTGCAACTACAGCTCTGGAGCTGTAGTTAAAAACAAAGTTGCTGGCTGTGTTCTATTTCCAGTTATCCCCCCTATGCCCTATTAATTTAGAACATTCTAACATTTAAACTTGGAATTACAAAAAAAAAGCATTAAAGTCATCACTCTAATGTGCAATTTGCTTTCAAAGTATTTTTATAATTCAGTTTTAGCAATCTTCGTGTTTACAATTGCACTCCCTTCGCATTGCACTTAAAAAAACTGAATGTCATTTTAAACACAGCCGTGGCTCATGACAAAAGCTATAGGTGACCTATTATTTAAAAGCAGAATTTGTTACATTTACAAAGCCTGTGAAAACAAAAACAATAGCATACGTTAATGCTTTTAATTTATAGTAGGTTATTTATAAAGTATATGTACTCAAGAGTATATACAAGAATCAGAGAGTAAAATTCAATACCTTTTAAGATCTTTTTAAAGACTCTTTCCCTACATTTTAAGACTCTAAAACCACTTTTCAACCTTAAACAATGGAAAGATTTTGTATTTTAGTACATTTACTAAATATTAATGTAAGAAACTAATTCAAAATTAAAACATCATGCATATACTGAATAAAAATCTATTACATCTAGCTAATTCAGCAGGCTGGCACCTACAGAACTGCAGAAATAATGATGTTGCCTTGGTTACTGCAGTAAACAAAGCACCATGGTGTAAAATCTAGCAGGATTTTATTGAATTCATAAACTACACTGCTTCCTGATATTTGCAGATTTAATTCAGGCAAACTTTAGAATTTAACCATACACTGCTTAATCAAAAATTATATAAAATTTAACACTTTGCAAATTTGCATTTAAGACTTTTTAATCCTTTTTAAGGGCCTTAAATGTCTTCCCGCGGACACCCTGGTACTGTATATGACATTGACCTGTTGGTTAGAACATTTCTGCAGTGGTTTGCATGTCAAATTGTAAAAGTAGACTTTTCAAATAAACAATATCCTACTTAATAATAATAATCAACATCATTAGTATTATTAAAGTAGTTTTTTCATTTCCTAATAAATAATAAATATACAATTTCATTTCTCAATAAATAGCCTCATTTTATATTTCTTTGTATGATTTATATACGAGATTAGAATACGTGTTAGCTTTTGTAAGTGGTTTTATGTTTTAGAATAGAATATGTTATATTCTAAATAATATTTGTAAAGGAAACACGGGCTCTATATGTGCCATATTTACATATATTTCAGTTAATATGGAAAGCGAGTGCATGTTTTTATTAAAACTAATACTGGATTTTATTTTAAATGTGTGTGCGTCTAAACCAATTTACACAAAGAAATGATGGGGTTTTTCTCTAAAGAAGTTGTTACCACCCAGTTTAGAGCATCATTATGGGCGTTTTACATTATAACTAACGTGGTATAAACGATGGATCTGCGACAGAGAAACAACAGGTTTTGGGAAACATTCATCACTACAGCATTCTTTTCCCGAACGATGCATCTTACTATGATAGTTCAGCCGCGAATTACGTCATTGTTTGGGAAATGAACCCATTTGTTTCTTCCGTGAAGAAAAAATATTATTTTGAAAAAAGCTGGAAACTAGTAACCACTGACTTTCATCGAATTTGTTTTTTCTACTATAGATGAAAATGGTTACATATTTTCAGCTTTCTTCAAAAAAAAAAAAAACATTGAATTAACCTTTTTGAATTAACTATACCTGTAAAATTGGTTTAAATAAAACAAAATGTATCAACTGCAAACTTCAAAAGAAATATTAAAAATAAAAATCTATACAAAAAATAAAAGAATACAGTCCAGTCCAAATACCTAAAGCTTTAGTCACCATGGATGATAAATCTACTTCCTGTAGTGGGCGGCCAGTTGTCCAGTCAAAAAGCCTCAGAATAGAATCCAAACGGCAGGATGCCCAAACTCCACTTCCCGCTGCACACAGAAAACGCACCTGCTGCTCATTTCGCTCAGACACTGAGAATGACTTCTAAAATGAACACAAAAAAAGGGAAAGAGTGAGGATTGAAGCACAAAATAAGAAATGAACAACACCATGTCCTTTTAAGACCAACCTGTATTTTTCGTTGTTTTGCACTGATCATGTAAACTTTATTCCAGTATCCCACCCAAAGACAGCCTTCTTTTGCCAAGCAACAGCGAATGGGCTGCAAAGGAGGTGTGTCGAGTGATAGCACCTCATGAGACTGGAGATCCCACATGCCTATAAAATGACAGTTATGACCATAAGTATAATTCAAATCTTAATAGCAGCCAAAACTGCAAACACACACCTGAATTGTGAGAGAAGAATACAAGCGTCCCATCAGCTAAGCCAGCAACTACCTCGTCCTGAGAATATCTTTTATTCACATAGAAGGGATTCAATCAGAAAGCTCTGTAATTTAATTAGCGAAAAACAAAATACACAATCATTCTAAAGACACTGACGTCAGAGAATGAACTCCCTCGGAAAGGTTGACTGATTGCAAACAGTGGCGCCTGGAGCTGGAGGACGAATGGATCAGCACACTGCAGAAAGACAACATCAGATTAATGATGCATTTCAAACAAGATATATTGCCCTCCGAAGGGTGCTACAGTGTAAAAACAATCATGACCATACTGAAATGTCACTTAAAATTGAAGTGCTCAAAACTGACCACTTTAAAGGGCCGTTCAGAATAAAGGATTTTATCTAGCTAGCGCCTCTCCATATTAAACTGATTAAATGTGAATTAATACGAGTTTCTGGTACATGAACTGTGTTGATCTTATAAGTTATCATCTGCAATTGAAACAACCGTAGCGTCTCCCATTTGCATTGTGTTCTGTGAACCCTTGCTTCCAAAATGATCTTGTTATCCACCATACTTTTTAAGGTCATTCTGTGTTTTAATGTATCTTAATATACATTTCAGGACAATGTTTAAGAGGAATAAACTCTGTTTGAGTTAGCAACACGATTTAAGAGGGAGGGGTGGGGCTTATTGATAGGCCAATTACAAAATGCTAG